TATGTCCTCAACTTTGCTCGCCAGGGTCTTCGCAAGAGGAGCCACCACCGCTTCTATTTCATCCAGCTCGGAGGCTTCATAGCCTGGCGCGAAACCGAGGCTCATCGCCCCCAAGTCGATGATTTCATCATAGTGTGAGCGGGTGAAGGCGAAGGCTTGGGTGATCCTCGAGCGAAGAGCTTCCTTCTCCAGCTGGCGTACCCACGCCATGATATCTACGGCACGGGCCACGAGCGAGCTGGCCCCCTCCGCCTGCACCACCTGCAGGTCATCGTAGACTACGCCAAGGGCAACCTTCAGGACATCGAGCTCGTCGCTCTCCACCTAAAGAAGACTCCTCGCCTCAGCAAGATCCGTAGCTAGTCCAACAGCGGCACCCTCGGCCTCCAGCTTCTAGGCTTTTGCGGTTCCAAGCTCGACCTAGAGGGAGCTGATCGTCTGCTGCGCCTAGTCGTGCTCTCGAACGGCCTGGTCGCGCTCCCCGCGGGCCCGGGCCACGCTCGGAGCAGAGCCTCTCCGCAGTCTGGCGTAGCTCGTCTTACTCCTTGCGCAGCTGGGCGATCACCTCGGTGTCTAGTTTTGCCCTCTGCTCTAGGGTCGCGGACCTCTCCTCGGCTCCCAGCCTGAGCTCCCGCTCCTTCTCGGCCTCGGCAAGGAGGTCGAAGATCCACTGGCGGGTCTCAGCATCCCACTAGAGCAGCGCGTCCCGCTCCTTCCGCACTCTGGCAGCCTCCTCCTCATCCCACCGCACCCCCTCCGATAGTTCCTCAAAAAACTTCTCGGCGTCCTCCACGTCCCGACGGGCCTCGGCCTCTCGCCGTCGAAGATTGTCCGCCTCCACGGCGAGGGGAGTCAACGCGGAGGTTGCAGATGCAAAGACAAGGAGGTAAAGTACGAAACCCTAGGGTCGAACCCTTTGGTTTTATAGGGGTGACGGATGCGAGGAAGGCAACCGTCTGCCTAAATCTCCGCGCCTATCACGATCCACCACCACGTCACATTGCGGGATATGTGCCCGCAATCCCTATCCTTTCCCACCAAAGACACGTCGGACGTTTCGCCTCCCCTGATGAACCAAGACTCTTTACCAGCAGAAGGGATACGGGTCAAAAAGCGCTTCTTCGACCCGCCTGGGCCTAGGAGCTCGAGGGCTGGCCTAATGGTTTCGACGGCCGTCCCAAGGAAGCCTCGCAACGAAGGATGGGCTCGCGAGTGGCCAAAACTCTAGCGCACGAGCTTCAAGGGAGTCTTGGTCCGCAATCGAGTCTTAGCCGGGCTGACCCTGGATGGATCACCGTGAATGGAATACCAGGGTCCCATTTAAGCTATCCGGCTAACAAAACCACCAAATCTCATAGCCATACCCATGAAGAGTCGAATCACCCCGAGCGATTCTATCCGAATCACCCGGGGCTCATGGGACTACACCCGATGGGTGCGTTCGCGCGCACCCTCTGGCAAGTCGAAATCACTCCCCTGGTTGATTCTATCCGAATCATCCGGGGGCTCGGGGGCTACACCCGTCGGGTGTGCTCGCTGCACCCCTCCGTACTTCCTCAAAAAACTTCGAATCACCCCCCCGGACGATTCTATCCGAATCACCCGGGGGTTGCGGATGGAGGTTACACCCGTGAAGCCTTTGCGCTTATAGCGCCGCACCCTCAGCAAGTCGAATCAGCCCCGGCGATTCTATCCGAATCACCCGGGGGGTTTTCGCCTCCTGTCAAGACTCTTTACCAGCGATGGGTGCTTTGACCATGCCACCCCTCTAAATGCAAGTCAAAAGCCACCCCGAAGGATGGATTCTATCCGAATCACCCGGGGCTCGGGTTACTCCGCACCGTCTCAGTGGTGCGCTCGCCAAATGGCACCCTCGGGGTCAATCAAACAAAACCAACCACCCATGGATGATTCTATCCGAATCACACCGGGGCTCGGGTTACACCCGGCGTACGCGTTCGCGGCGCGCTCACGCCCACCCTCCCCGTGTAAGTCGAAATCACCCGTCGGCGATTCTATCCGAATCACACCTCGGGGCTCGGGTTAATCACCGTCGAGTTTGGCTTGGCGGCACTTTACAACTCGAATCACCCGGGGCTCGGCGGCTACCCGGGGCTCACAGCTACACCGGTGCGCCACAAGACACCCTCTAGCAAGTCGAATCACCCCCGGGCGATTCTATCCGAATCAGCCGGGGCTATTGTCGGGGACCAAATACTAGGGTACCTAAAGGGGGGGAGCTAATGATCATCAAACGTTGATGCTTCCGAACATACAAGAACGTGACTACACCTCTAGCCCAACGACCGAGGGTTAGGTCCGCCTCGCCCGACGTCCGGGGGCAGACTCCGCCGCCCGACGTCCGAGGCGATCATTAAACGTCTTCGAGCGACGACGGACTACCTCGAGGGCTTCCGCCTCGCCCGACGTCTCGAGGGTCCGAGGCGGACTCGCCGCCCGACGTCCGAGGGCTCGGGCCTCCGACGCCGTCAGGTTCGGGTCCGCCTCGCTTGGGCGTCGAGGGGCGCTCTCGCCGCCCGACGACTACTACCGCTCCTTCATAACTACGCGCGTAGATAAGGCGGGGCACTCAAGTCAACCGTAATACCGAGTACCATACCCTACACGCCTGCAAGAAAGTACCGTCAGGACATGACAAGACGGGCGCTTTAAGCACCTCCAAGCATGTCAGAGCCTGAACAGTGTTGTGGTCGCCGACATTTGTTCTATAGTGTTGTGGGCGCCGCCATTAGCCCTTAGGCGCGGATCCTAACGGAACAATACGACAACCACTACGGTCCAAGAGGAGATTCACGTCCTCTACAATGACGGACGTGCAGTCTCTAGCGCCGTCCGCTCTCCCGTGAGGTTACGGATCAACACCCCAGTCCGTCGCGCTATAACTACCCCTACAACCGCTATTTAGTAGCTTGGTCGTCGCAAGGATATTCGCACATAGACTTAAGAAACAAATTGACCCAGGGGGAGGGTTGGAAACCTTGATCAATTAGCACATTAATTACATCATTTGATATGTGCTAGTTGTAAGTAGGCACATGATTATTAGGATCAGTGGTAACAAATCACTTCCCATTTGATCTTTACATAAATCACTCTCATCTTACGTCGAAGATTCCCCCTGCCAGCCTGCCTCGCAGTCGCAGCTGAATATGTAGCGTTTTGCAAGTGCTGACGTTGGCACGGAGCGGGGCCGGCAACCCAATGATGACGACGATGTGTTCGGGAAGACGCATGCAACGCGCGCCTTGTAGAGGGAAACAACGAAGCGTCCCCTGTCTAGAGGTAGGAGTTGCTCATATATAGCTGCCTGCCACGACGGGTCGACCGGTCGAGTACAAATCATTAGGCTGGTCCCGATTCGATCGAATCGATGGATCATGTGGCGAGGATAGATGGCCGTGGGTGCTTCACGGACTGGCTCACCTGTTGGCCGTTGCTATTGTGCACTACGCTTTCTTCTTTGCCTCTTTCTGCACCTGCTCTGCCCCGTGCCGGCCGCGGAACGACCCACTAGCAATAGCCGATGCCCAACGCCCCAACCCCGACCAGCGGGGCCGGCCGGGTCGGAGATTAGGGATGGATGCGTTGCGTTTGCGTAGTACCGTACCACGCTACAGCCAAGATGGCAAACGGCCAGCCGAGGGACGATGGCCATACTGAAAACTACCGTTCGCTGATACGTTGCGAGAGGAAAATACCGTATCATGCCTGATAAGGCAGGCCAATAACTTTAAACGAACAGGATATAATATAGTATTTTTCTCTCACATCAAATAAACATATGCCGAACAGCTCGACGAGGAATGTTGAGTTAATAAAGAATAGGGCCTTGTTTAGATAGCTGTTAGGAATCAGTATTCGGCACTGTAATACTTTTGTTTGTATTTGATAATTATTGTCTAATCATGGCTTAACTAGGCTCAAAAGATTCATCTTATAATTTACAATCAAACTGTGTAATTAGTTATTTTTTTATCTACATTTAATACTCGACGAGGAATGTTGAGTTAATAGAGAATAGATTGGTTTTTGATTTTTGATTTTTGAGACCATCTTTCTCTTATAGATGGTACGAGGTTCTAGAAGCGCAAGACCGGTCCGTAGCCTCGGCAGCATTGACTCTGGCTCCGTCCAGCCGTGCATGTATCAATTACGATCGAGATAAGATCATTGTATTGTATTGTATGTATCTCTAAAATTAGGATGGAAGAACCGTTACATCGCATCTGTTTGTTATAAGTGGCCAAGGTGCCTAGTTTAGTTATTACAAGAGCCATTTCCTGCTGCACCCATCGGTGACTAACCCAGTCATTAGGAACTAATAAAGGAAGTTGTGTCACATACATACGCCCTGTTCATACATGTAGGATGTCCCGAAACACAACACGGCCGAACCAAAACACACACAAACACTAGCAGTACTGTAGGCGTGTCTGTTTGAGAGTTGAGACCCTGGCAAACACCTCGTCAGATACTGGGATGGCACGGGCACGGGCACGGGGCACCCAAAGCCTTCCACTTTCTCTCTCACCCCATCATATAAATACGATTGGATGTAGCGAGTCGTTCTCGTTGGCGTTCCATTCCCCCTCTCTACTCTCTCTCCTGGTTCTCGTCTCGTTTCTCTCTCCCTCCGCGGGCGCGAAGGTAGCGCAGCTACGAGACAAGGCACACGTATACCAGTACTACTGCGCCGTTGCCTGCCTTGCACCACCACCACCGCAGGTCCGGTCCGGTCTACTAAACAAACCAGCCCAGCGCCCCAGCGACTAGGGAGGGAGGAGGGGAGAGGGGCGGCCGGGGTCGGCACGGCAGGCAGAATTGCCTCCTCCTGCTGCCTGCTGCGTGCTGCCAGAGGGATCGCACGGACATCGGAGGGAGTGATCAATCAAGCCCAGGAGGAGGAAGGGCGGAGGAGGAGAGATCCGTCCCGTCCCGGAGGCGGCCTCCGGGAGATCGATCGGTCTCGGTGTACGGGGATGGAGCCCGCCGGGTGGGTGGCCGGGCTTGTGGCGGAGAGCTTCTTCGTGGCGTGCCCCGCGCACGAGTCCCGCAAGAAGAACGAGCGCAACATCTTCTGCCTCGCCTGCTGCGCCAGCATCTGCCCGCACTGCGCCCCCGCGCACCGCCACCACCCGCTCCTCCAGGTCAGTCTCGTCCTCGTCGTCTCGTCGCCCGCCCTCCTCCCTCCATCCCCTTCGTCTCCTCTTCCTCCTCTCCTGCCATGGGGCATGGCATGCACCTGGAGTCCTGGCTGCTGCCAGACACTTCTATCTGTCTCGCCACTGTACAGAGAGATGATCGTACTATACGAACTCCACTCGCTCCGAAGATCGGTCGATCTGCTCAATTTCTAGTCCTTCTAGCTCCAAGCATGCAGTAATTCTCACTGCTTCTCTCATCTGCTCGTTGGATTAAACACCGCCGGTGCAGAGCAGGAGGAGGCAGCAGCTTTTTTTTTTGCCTCGGTTCTTGTGCATGGATGGGAACGGGAGTACCAATCAATCAATTTCTTTATTTATTATCCTCCTCATGGCGATGCGAGTAGTAGTAGTATACTCCTCCGTAGATGCTAGTACTCCGTAGACGAGGGAGGGGCATGGCACATGGATGGTGTGTGTATCTCGCTTTTGTTTTGTCGTGTGCTGTCTTTTCACGCGCTGTTCCTTCCTTAGATTTGGTCCCGGCTTAAGCCTAATTCCCCTACCATTTTCATATCATTTGATTTGATTACTACTTACTTGATTTGATGCGTGCTCTCGTCTCGTCTGTGTGGGGGAAAGGAAATCCCTCGCTAATCGCTCCTCTCCCTCGTACTTGCTTCCGGTCCTCGTCCGTTGTCGCCTTGCGAGGTTTGGTTTGGTTTGGTTGGGTTGGGGTCATGCTCATGAGCTCATCTCATCCATCACCATGCATGCCGCTCTCTTGATTAATTTAGGTTTAGAGCGAGCGGGCGCTGATTGGGTCCTGCCATAACCGTCGCCTAATTCGCGAACGAACACCAATTCCATGCATGCTTCGCTTCGCAGCAGTACCATCGTGGTAATTTCCTGCTCCTACCTACCTACCCGGAGTACAAATTCTAGTTGTTTAGGCTCTGAATTAGTAGCCGGGCGTTAGTTATGCGTGGTAAAACTTTTTTTTCGGGTCATGGGGGGACCGTACAAATTCGAATTATTTCCCGTGCATGTAGTGAATCATTTCATCCGGTTCCCTCTCTCCCTTGCTTGTCTTGTCGCTGCCATTTCGTCCCCCCTTTCTCCTTTCTTGCAACTAATCCGGTCAGGAGTTGCTGCTGCTGCTGCGAGTCGAACCCAAGAGGCAAAAAGCTGTGGGGAGGTACCGCTGCCTCTTCCTTGGCCTTTCGCCGGAAACAGCCATGTCCATGTCCATGTCCTGCCTGCGCGGTGAAAATTTCCACACCAGAGCGCTCATGCTGTGTGTGCTTGTTTGATCTTATCCTCCTCTTGCTTGCAAAAGTTACTGCCCAGTTCTGTCTCTGTGGCTTCTTTTTTACCCTCTGCAATGCATGATGATCCGTCTCGTCTCCTCGGATGCTACGATAGTCGCCGCAAGAATTCGAATTCCCATTCCCCTTTGGATTGGATTCTCTGCGTAATCGCTTCCTGTTGTGTGCGAGCTTCCATTAATAGGCCTGGTTATCCAAACTGTTTTGCCATGTATAGCAACATTTCCTGCTCGTCCTGCCGCGGCCCCCCTGCAGCGCCCCCGGTGAAAATCGAATCGCGCTTTCTACTTTTCATCTTCTTGGAAGGAGTAGTTACCGCCGGGGGCAGCAGGGCAAAGCAGATTTACCGTGTGCGCCCGCGCGGTAACTGCGCGCCTCCTCTTTTTTACCAAACAGAGGCATCGACACTGTTCTTCCCTTGGGGGCCCCGCCTCGATCGGTACTGTTCATTCACGGCTAGTGACCAAACCTTTCTGGCTCTCTCTCCTTGGTGGATTTTTACCATTGTACCCCAAACCTGCGGTGGATTTTCATGGTAGAGAACAGGTCCTCCAAGGGCAGTTTCGTCACTGCGGGTGGGTTTGCGGTCTCCCATGATAAGATCACGACGGGAGGTGGTACTGCTGCCCGGCCGGTCAAAGCATGGGCCACTGTGGCCCAACCCAAGTTGTACTGCTGCTGTACTACCTGCATTATCTTCAAACTCCAGGATTATTGCCTGTCTAAACATGTTTAGCACGAAACACGAGGCAGGCACTGGCTTCGTTTTATGTACGTATGTATCTTGTTTATTTACGATTTATTTTTTTGCTGGAATGGAATTAGGTGCGGCGCTACGTGTACCATGACGTCGTCCGCCTTGGCGACCTCGAGAAGCTCATCGACTGCTCCTGTGTTCAGGTGATTCCTTGCAAAATCACTATTGTATTGTATCATCAGCCACCTTGCTTAAGGATTCTTTGTTCCATTTCTGAAATGATTTTAAGCATTGCTATCACTGCCACTGTGGTGTGATAGTGCTTGTAGATTTGAATTTTGTTTCAAAAAAAAAAAATTTGGTTGTGTAGCTGATGATTTACTGTTAATGATTCCCTCTGTGATGTGACGGTGCAGACCTACACGATCAACAGTGCCAAGGTGATCTTCCTGAAGCCGAGGCCTCAGTCCAGGCCTTTCAAGGGCTCCGGCAACATCTGCCTCACATGTGACAGGATCCTCCAGGAGCCATTCCACTTCTGCTCCCTCTCTTGCAAGGTCAGCTTCACAAGTGTTACATCATCGCCCACATAGCCGGTGATGCATCATCATATCATTCACGCCTTGTTTAGTTTCACCCTAACTTCCAAAAAGTTGCTACAGTATCGGTCACATTGAATGTTTGTGAACTGTGCATAGAGCATTAAATATAGACGAAAAGAAAAACTAATTGTACAGTTTGGTGGGAAATTGCGAGACGAACGTTTTAAGCCTAATTAGTCCATTGAATGTTTACGATCTGTGCATGGAGCATTAAATATAGACGAAAAGAAAAACTAATTGTACAGTTTGGTGGGAAATTGCGAGACGAACGTTTTAAGCCTAATTAGTCCATATTTGAATACTATTTGCTAAATAAAAATGAAGGTGCTACAGTAACCTCAAAATCCAAATTTCGCGAACTAAACAAGGGCTCAGTGAGGATGCCATGCTGAATTCCACGATGACGACTTATGGCAACACATGCCACATGGTTTGCATATACGCAGGTGGATCATGTGATGATGCAGGGAGGGGACCTGTCCAACATCCTGCAGTACTATGGCGGCGGTGGCGCGGCGGCGGACCCGGACCACCCGGACCACCTCACCTTTCCGAGGTTCGAGAACCTCCGCGTCGACAGCTCGGACCTCGACGACGACACCGACGGCGGGCAGGTCACCCCGAACTCGACCCTCGAGGACCCGACGCAGCGCTACGGCAATGGCGGTGGTGGCGGCGGGGGATCAAGCGACAATGGTGGTGACACTACTAGGGTGGACGGCGGTGTGCGGCGTGGCGGCGAGGCGGCCAAGAGAAAGAAAGGGGGAGGGTTCTTCCCCCAGATCGTGCTGTCACTCGGCGGCGGTGGCAACAGGAGGAAGGGTGCCCCCCACAGGTCCCCTCTGGCCTAAGCGCTTCGTAACTTCGTTCATGTCCCCCCCTGCTGCTGCTGCTCGTTATCACTGTCTATAGCTAGCTAGTGGTAGCTGTTGCAGTGATGGTGGCTGTGGCTATTAATTAGTACTAGCGTGTTATAATATTCTTAATGATGATTAGCCTTGTAGAGATCAGACGAGAGCTGGTTGGTCGGTTGCTTGGGGAAGGGCCTGGCCTTTTGATCCATCGAGCAGCTTTGCTAGGGCCATGGCCATCTCAAGGTAGTTGTGTGTGTTGATGATGGAGGGAGACGGAGAGACGGTTGTAAAGCAGTTCCCTTGTTGCAGGCCTAGGTAGGCACTGGTTAAGTGGGGTCCACATTTGCAGGCGGGGCCCATACGAGGTGGCTACCAATTTTGTATTTTGCTGTAACAAGGGTTACTTGCATACACTTCCACACCTATATATAAGTAATATATATAAATTGCCCCAGACTGAATATGTTATTAGCAATGTATATTAGTATTGTGTGCCACAGGTAATTTTCAGTTGCCTGTTTGGTGTTTAGCAGCTGTTGAGACTTGAGAGTTTCCATGCATGGTTGGTTACATGCATGCAGCTGTAAACTGTCTGTGTGTGTCCCTGTCTTGCTTTTGAGTTTTGACATGACCGCCATGTGATGCACACGCCCAGCTCCGGTCCAAACTCTCCAGTCGTGTTGCTGTGACCTGGTTGTTTGATGCAGTTGTGATTCACTTTGCAATGGACCACTCTGTCTTTGTCCCCTTGGTGTGTAGAGACAGAGACTCAAAAAGACGAGAGAGAGTGGTGGCAGGTGAGTTGCAAATATGCAATGCTAGTCCAACGTAGTGTCAATGGGCTTGATGCCTGATTTTCCATGAGAATTTCCCTATGAGAGGACAGATCGGTCATTTTAGCCTCCACCAGGATGCAAACGGTAGAAAGGTCATTCATGTATATCTAGGTATGTAAAAAAAAAAAATAAGAACGACTTATAATTTAAAACGAACGAAGGATAAATTTAGTTAAACCTAAAAAAATATAACTTAACACAACTCTAAAAAATAGAGTTAGGGCAGCTCCAACAATGTTAAACCAACTAGGGCATATAATTTTTTATCCAATTAAAATGAGAGATAATGGTAAGTTAGCTGGTTAAGCTCACACATTTCCTTACGATTCATGTGTCTATGTTTAAACATTTTTCTATATTAAAAAAAGTAACGTGTATATACTCTATTTTTATTCTTAAATTCACATGGGCTGGCAAGTTAGTAACTTTATTACTAAAAGTGCGAAGAGAAAAGCGGTACTTCTGCAATTGGGCACCTTTTTCGGAAGCATAGCTTTTTGAGTGACCAACAGCAGTGGTCTCGGAACCAGAGAATTGTTTGGCTGTATCGAGTGACTTGTCAGTTGTCACGGCCATGAGGCACGGGACACTCCACCGGATCACACCGTAATGACAGATCAAAAGGTAATTAAGTTTTTAGCTAACTAGCAATTAGCTCTCTCTTTTTTTTAAAAATAATCAGCTCTATCAAACATACAATTACTACATTAGTGCATCGATTTTGACCAAAAATTCTAAAGCAGATGAGAATTCCATGCATGATGCCATGGATGTCGCCGAGAAGAGAAGAGGACTTGAATCACCTATTCTTTCTCTGCCCATTTGCAAGTTCAGATTCAGACAGATCTCAATATGGACTTCATGCAAAACTTGGATTATATCAGAAGGCAACTACACCTACCTTTCTCTACAGATATCATAATAATCATGTGTTGGACCATCTGGAAGGCCAGAAATGGTCTTATTTTCAACCAGGAGCAACCTTCCCTCCAGAACTCAAAAAAGGCTTCAAAGCTGAATTTGCGCTGCTCCTTTTGCGCGCCAAAAGAAAGTTCTTCCCCTTTATTGAAAAATATGGTTAAACAATCCAGTGTAATTTCTTTAGTTTGGAGAATTTTCTTTGTCTCCCTTTTTTGTTTCCTCAACCTCCCCCCCGACCCCCTAGTTTCTCTTAACTTGTTGTTATCTTGTTACTTTCTTTTAATAATTTCCAGTAGGGGAGCCCCTCCTGTTTTCCTAAAAAAAATATGTGACCGGCAAGTCCATTATCCATGCATGCACAGATGCACTGCACCTACACGAGCACGCACGAGTGACACGATCCATGCAACTTGACAGCAGCCAATGCAATTCTTGTTTGGTTATGGTTATCAAAACAAAAATGCAATTCTTGTTTTAGCTGGGTGGGCATTCCGAGGGGTGCTAATGATCCATGCAAGAGCATCCCGACAGTCACTTTGGAACTGCGGGTCATGTCGGTGGAAGGAAGCAGGATGTTCGAGCAAGTCGCCAAAACAAGCTCGAGCAGCATCACTATCAGGCAAAACGCTGGAGTACTAGCTACGGAGTAGCTAGCAAATCTCTCATTCAGCATTGTAGGGACACATAGCCACTAACTTACGCCACTAACCTACACCATATTCGCTTGATCGTATCAGTCATACTTATCAGCTATGATATAGTATTTTTCTCTTATAATAAAACAACATCAGTCGATTTATAAGCCATATAAACGATCAAGGGAACATGCTGTTAATCATGTGTCCTCTATGTAAATAATAAAACCCTGTGCTGGAGGCCGGAGTAGTACATTGACTGTTGACCGCATGCCCTCCGTGCTAGTTGCTCATCAATGATGAGGGATCTAAAGTTGCCGGCCGGTTTCCAGCACTCTAATATACGTACGTAGTATCTTTTGAACGACAGTGAAGAAGCTTTAGGAAATGAGTGTAGCTCAAGTGGTTGAGCGAGAGTTGTGGTCGTACCCTTAAACCACCCAGGTTCAAGGTTAAGTTCTTTCTTTGACTGAATTTGGGTGTCTACTTTTCTTCTTAATAAAAAACCATCTAATTCCTTCTAGGTTGGATCTCGTTTAGTACAGTGAAAAGGCTCATAGTGAATTCTATTAGGAATTACTATTAAAAATTAGCCCAAACCATTGTTTGATGATCGATGGCTTTTGGACTCTAAAACCTAGACGGATCGAAAGAAGAGGGCCATGAGTTCCATGGCGACCGAAGAGGGTTGTCACCACCACCGGGGCTTAGCGGTGCAATGGGCGAGCACCCGCTGGGAACGGGGAGCAGGTGGTAAGAGTGAGTGCCATATACAAAACGGTGACTTATAATTTGGAATGGAGGGAGTAGAAGATACAATATAAGAGATGAGGTGAAGTTGCTCTAACGCTAGACCAAGAGTCCAGGAATTGCGAGCTTGTGTTGGGGGTCAGATTGGAGCTAGTTTGTATCGCCCTCAAGCGCACGAGACCGACCAACTGACCGATCACTGTCGCCCTTATTAGTAAATGCCCCGCCAAGATCTCCTCTGAGCAGGGGTGGATGCAGCCTAGATGTCGGAAGCTTGCTTCTTTCTCGTTTCTTCTCCTCCCTTTTTTTTCCTTCCTTTCTTCTTCCTTCTTCCACACAAATTATAAAGGGGGAGCTCAATAAGAGCTCGTTATGCGGGAGGCGGTAGGAGGGTTCAAGCCCATGCCCGTCCCACCGTTGGATCCGCACCTGCCTACGATTATGATTGGGCTCCCCTCGTGTCCTCTCACTTCTCAATATGTCACCCACCAGATCGCCACCCCCAGTGCATAACACATCAAATGCATGCTAAGCTTTTGTACTATGATGGAAGCAACACATTGCATTCTAAAAACTTTATATATACTTCATCAGTTTTAAATTGTAGGTTGTCTTAATCTTTTTAGATATATTGTTTTTAATTTGCATGTAAACATAATAATATATGAGATGCGTAACAAAAAGATACATTGGAACCAATTTCGTATGTGGGGTCTCGTCGCTCCCACATTGGCTGGCTGCTGATGTACATTGTACACTCTCGTGGTGGCCCAGCCCAACCCCTGAGCTGTGGAATGGTCAAGTCACTCGTGCAATGCAACGCGACCACACCTCTCACCTTTGCGGCTGTGCCCAAACATGCATGGCGCCCCTGTGCCCCTGTTGGCATTGGCACTGGCAACTTTGAGACGTGGCCCTCCTTTGGCTTTATTACTTTTTCTGAGCCTAGGGCTTTATTTATTTTTAGCTGTATTAATTATTAATTCAGAGGACGATCGAATATACGAGTACAACAACAACACTTCTGGACGGAGTAGATCGTCTCGTGCGCGCTTTGCCATCACACGTGCTGCTAGAACGCTAGTGCGACCACAATCTGGACCTTGTTTAGTTTCTCCTTATCCCATCGAATATTTAGACATATGTATAGAGTATTAAATATAGACTAAAAATTAACTAATTACACAGTTTACGACTAATTTGTGAGACGAATCTTTTAAGCCTAATTAGTCCATGATTTGATAACGCGGTGCTACAGTACACATGTGCTAATGATGAATTAATTAGGTTTAATAAATTTGTCTCGCGGATTACTGACGGATTCTGTAATTTATTTTTATATTAATATCCGAACACCCTATGCGACACCTTATGTGACACCCGATGTGATGTCTCAAAACTTTACGCTCTGAATTTGAACAAGACCCTAGTCTACTCGCTCTGTCCATTGAAGTGTCGTTTTTAACTTTTAGACTTCTTGTTTGATCGTTCGTCTTATTCAAAATTTTTGTATAAATATTATTTATTTTATTACGATGACTGATTTTATCATTAGATATACTTTAATAATAATTTATTTATTTTATTATTTATATAAAAAATTAAATAAGACGAATGGTTAAAATAGAAGTTTAAAAATGAAAAAAAATGACATTTTCAATGTGACGGAGGGGAGTAGATTCGAGCAGGAGCGCCACCGTATTCTGCTTCTGCTGATCGGGGAACATGCATGGAGGGGAAAAAAATTCTATGCATACGGTATGCACTCAGCTTCTATGTATACATGCTCCCAAACGACTGCAACGTGTCCATCAAGGGGAATCGACGTCTGTCCTCACCCGTGCTTCCGCTTGCCTCCCACTCGGCTCCAGCATGCATACTAGACTCGGCTCCTGCTTATCCGCTGCTCACCTGTACATGCGGCAGCCATCAGGTGGATGTATGCATGCCTGCTCGGTGCATACAGGATGCTTGGAGTTTTTTCCCGCATGGAGAGGCTCCCGTTGCCCGGCCGACACGTCGAACGTGCGGTGTGGACATGCTACTTGCGTTTGCTAGCTTAGCTCCCCTTTGTTGCACAGAAGATCACCTGTTCGTCCGATGCGAGGTGGTGGTAGTAGTGGTATTTTTACCGTGAGGTACTGATGCGGTTCTTTTTGCCAATATTGGAGAAGCAGCAATAAGGCCATGTTTAGTTTAAAAAATTTCACCCTAAAAAAAATTAATTGCACAGTTAAATAAAATCTAAATATAGATGATAAAAAACTTTACACAATTAAAATAAGAAATCGTGAATTAGAAACTTTAAAACTATTAAATATAAATAAAAGTGCTACTTAAAATTTTAAATACAAACAAAAGTGCGCGCCCTAACCCAGGAAATATACCCGCACTCCTGTGGTGTCAAAGCAACCTCTCGGCTCCACCTCTCCCGCAACGATTGACGTGCATGTGGCTACACCTCCTTCCGGCGGTCCTGCTGGCTGCACGGCTGGACCTCACCTGACACAATCACACATGGCAACCCACCACACCCACAGACAGAACCCCCTCCCTCCTCCAGTCCTCCTACCGTCCAGCGTCCTGTCGATTGATTGATGCTGTGATGGTCTCATTCGTCTCTTCTCATCTTTTGCTACACCGCCTGTCAGCTTTTGCCACATGTAACCCAACCAACCAATCAAGGTCTTGTTTAGTTCCTGGTTAGAAATTAGTATTCGAATCTTGTCTTTTCTTTCGTAGATTGACAATTATTATCCAATCTTTCAGGCTCAAAAGATTCGCCTCGTTTTACAATCGAATTTGTATTAGTTATTTTTTATTATTTTATTCAATGCATGTGTTCAAAAATTTGATGTGATGAAGAGAGAGTAAAAAATTGAATCTAAACAAGACCTCAGTACCTTTTTAGATATCAAAATATGTAATTAGTTTTCGTTTGTATTTGACAATTATTATCCAATCATGACCTAACTAGGCTCAAAAGATTTGTCTCATAATTTACAATCAAACTATGTAATTAATTATTTTTTTATCTATATTTAATACTCTATGTATGTGTCCAAAAATTTGATGTGATGGAAAGAGAGTGAAAAAAATTAGAATCTAAACAAGCCTATGGCAGCATCCTGCACGGCTGCATGCACTGCTTTGTGCGCTCTCTCCCCAGTCCCAAGTTTGGCTAGTGAGGTGATCCAAATCCTGAATTCTTGGTCCGTGTGGTGGCATTCAAGATTTGAAGTGCGCCGGGGGCCAAACCAACAGGCCTTTCCATGCGCATTGCCAGCAAAGTGAAAAGTGATCGAAAAGGAGGCCCACGCACGCAAGGCCTTCACTAGACACACCTCGTGCCAGATTTGCGCGCGCGCGCACACACACAGAGAGGGGAGAGATACGAGGCAAATTTCTAGGATTTGCTTAAACTTGTTGGACCCTTATGTGATGGAGCTGGCAAAGCGGCAATAATGGTGGATAGAGCGAAAGAGGCTGGGGCCTGGGGAGCAGGAGGCGGGGGTGGTCCAATCGCTGGCGCTGCGGCAGCTCTTGAAGCTGCAGGGGAAAGGGAGGCAGCGGCGCCCCCATCTCACCTGTGCGCGCTTCAGGTTTCGCCATCCCCACGCCTCCATTATTGTACGGAGCTTTTGACCGTTGGTTTCCTCCTCCCTCCAGCTCCCCCACGGCCACCTCAGCAACACAACGGCCACGTGTGCCACCTACGTGGCGTCCACTTCGGTGTACTCGCGTGCTGCTTTGCTATTCATGTAAACATTCCCGTGAAAAACCCAACCTTCTCCAGACTCCAGCAAATTGGTCTCCAGGTTATATTATTTTATATATTATTATATTATGACAGATGAAATGCGTCTGCTTCACACTGTCAGGTCCAGGCAACGCTATTTCACCCAACTGAGTTGCAACATGCTCACTCCCAAGTCCCAACCATGTAACTTGGCCAACCAAAATCAGAAACTCTGGCCACCCTAGAATTCTTCTACAATTACAATTTGCCTGCTGACAAACCTGAGATGAACACCACGGCACACAATCAATGGTAAATCCAACAGTTTCCCCATGCAAACTGAAGGTCAAGGATCCTTTCAGCATCAGCACTCGCCAGCTTCCTCAGCCCGTCTGTCAGCTTCATGACGCGGCATAAGGGGAAGCACCAAGGAACATCTCCAGCGCGGCCAGATGGTGTCTCAAGAAGCTGTACGCGAGCTCCGTGCTCACCGCGGCTACCCGAGCAACCATGCCTGTTCCCTGCGGCCAAAAACGATGACAGATGCGGTGTTCCATTTTCACAAGCCAAAGGGGCCCAAAGCGCACACATAAGAATCGAATCTAGCACAACGATGAGATGGAGCAGCGACAAACCGTGCGGCCGAACGGGCTGCAAGAGGCGACGAGCGGAGGCCTTTGTGGACGCTGGGGAGGTTTTGATCTCATAGTGTAGAGGCTACCGCCGGATGTCGGAGGGCGCAGTTGCCCGGACATCAGCTTCTTCACTTCGTCTTGCATCTTGTCTTGTATGTGCCTTAGCTTTGGCCTTCAGAGGAAAGTATGCCATGAATCATGAGCAATATAGTTTGGATTCTGTCAGCCAGGCTTTCCGTCAGGCAAATGGTAGCTTAAATTCCAAAAATGTATGTCCTGAACTCCTGATTTCTAACAATTTCATTTGTCAATTTGTTCCTAATAGAAAACACCAAATCCTAGATAGGCCCTTGCATATAACACTAGCTCTTCCTATGAATACAGCAGTGAACTGTTAGCTATATTGAGTTATTGACAGAAACAGAAATAGACAATCATAGCATATGGTACTGTTAACTTTGTGCCCTACAACAATAATTGCAAAACAAAAAAACATAAGCTTCTAGGCTGAAGCGAGAATGCAAATTCATCGGTGTAGTGCTATTTGAAACTTCATGTAATAACTTTCAAATGTTCAAACAGAGATGACCAGAGCATAAGGCAACATGTGTTTGAGATGATGATGTATTGACCTTACCCCAGTAACACGATCATCGCAATCACATTGTACTCATGCATCCGTTCAGCAATGCTATAATTCGAGCCTTGTTCCAATAAAGTCTGCTCAAATATATATGGCGTGTTAAGAATGGTGAACAACATAAACAAAAATGGAAATGGATTAACAATTTAACATAACGAAGACATGCTAGAAGGAGGTCAATAGTGTTTACTGAGTCAATAAAGAGAGGCTGATCTCCCAAGAAAATATGGTTGACACTTTTGTAGAAGCTAAAATCCCATTTTTCTCCACTCTCATAACGGCCACTTGTAAACCAATCTACAACTACCAGGTTTGAATTGGCAGAGACTTGAAAAACTTGCTTTTGGTGGTACCGAGCGGTTGAGAAGCAGGTTACAGGGTCTGGAATAACAGCAAGCAGGGCATCTTCCCCAACTCTGGCCTACTGCATGTAATAAATGTTTAATCATGGACCTTTCTAGTTAGGAATGCAACTAAGAGCCTAGAGCCCTTTAATATAACAAATGCTTTGGAAGAAGAATTACCTCTAGCAACTGTTCAGAACATTTTGAACCCACAGCCTTGTACACCTACAAGAAGCGTATAAATAAAGTCAGCAGATTCGAAGCAAACTAGTTTTGCAGTTGACAATTTTATCAACGGACTAGTTAAGCTTACGCGAGTACTTGCCGACCATGAAAAATACAACAGATCTGATTGAAACTAACTTTTCAGTTGACATGTAGACAAAAAACTTGAATGAAGGAAATCAGCATTTTTCAGTTGACATTTTTTATGAAGTTGTCAGTTCATGAAAGCTTAGGCATGGCAATAACTGAGCGGAATGATTTCCTGATGCAGGAAACACTGGAGTAGTATCCCAAAGCTAGAAAGATCAGGGCTAAACAATCTTAGTAAGAGAACGTCATCAGCTAGCTAATTTCTTTGTTGAGCTTTAAAAGGTTCACAGTAGAAAGACCCCCACCCCCCGCACCACCCACCGACCCACACCACACACACAGTTTGAATTTTGTTCAGCCAGTGGCAGAGCTCCCAGATTTGGAGATTTTAACGTGCCAGTCCTTGTGTTCAGCATTGTGATGAACTCATGAACAATCACTAGTTTCTACCATGGGCAGAGGAAGAAATTAGCCTCCCACATTGTACTAATGCAGCCTAAACAGTGCAGCTGGAAGGCTCATAGACTCTTGTTTATCATAAATTCCTACAGAGCCAGTATTTTGGAATCCAGACATCTTCTGGTCAAGGTTCTATACAGTAAGTACCATACGGCATACACGGGTAAGCATCACAAGACCACACAAAACAGCCATAGTATAAGTATAGGCAGGAAGCGCAGAGTCAAGCTTCATTAAGCAACCAGCATACCTTGGTCGAGGCCTGCGTGGTGATCGCCGCCGTGCACCCGTCGCCGACGCTGACCGTGCACGATATGGTGTCCCCCTGCAAGGGCGCGCGCGGGCGCGGCACCAGGAGCACGTCACGCTACAGCAACCTTCTCCAACTCCGAGCCGCGAGTACCCAGCAACGGCGCAGCGGGCAAGAACGGAGAGAATAGAAAGCGGAGGGAGGTCCTCGGGACTCACGGAGACGATGCCGCCGCCGTAGGTGAGGGCGTAGAGCCAGACCGCGTTGCAGGACGAGGGCCCCACCTTGGACGGGGCGATGAGCTTGAGCGGGTACCTGGCGAAGCAACGGGTCAGCACCGACCTCCCCCGCACCCTCTCCACCCGCACCGCCCCCGTCGCCGCCTCCGCCATCGCCGGCTGACCAGACCACTACCGGGAGCGTGGTGATTGGTCGGTCGATCCGTCCGTGCCTAGCCTAACCCCGATGGGGCAGCGGTCAACCAGATCATCCGCATTTGCCTCGGGAGTTCGTAGAGACGTGCAGTAGATTGAAGCAGCCCAGCTCTAGTTCAGCCCACCACGTCACCGGGCTGTCGGAAGATCTAATGGGCTTGCTTATCTGCGGACTGCGGATGACTTTGGGCCGCGAACGGACACGTGCTGTGTTTCCCTCGGGATTTGGAACTGACAGTGTAACAAACTGATCGTCTAAAAGCTTTGTAATTCCACTACTGAAATACAAATTTCCGATTCCTCTACGCTCTGCGATGAGCTTTCTGGATGAATTCATGTCTCGCCGCTCTCTATTTGCTATTACTCCTAAGTTTAAGTCTGCAACTAGCAACGGAGGATTGGAGAGGAAATGCAGGTGACAAGGCCGGTGATTTTCAAACAATTTCGATGAAATGAAAGATAGTGATACTAGGGCCTTGTTTAGTTCCCTTCAAAGTTCCAAGTTTTTTTCAGTGGAGTGGAATTACACGGTTTAGTTGGAAATCACGGGAGCACCGCTTCGGCTCGAAAGTGATTATTCATCGCTCCACTAAACAAAGGTTTCGGGCCGGAGTGGAGTGGCACGGACCAGCGCTTCGGCTCGTGCGCTCCGCGCCGTCGGTGGCCGGACCAGCGCACCGCGCCGCGCCGTCCAGGCCATGTTCCGTGGTCGGCGCGCAACCGGCCAGCCCACCGCACCACTCTCTCCCCGTCTCCGCGACCCGATATTCCCGATCGCGTCACAATTCTCAATTTCAGCGCGGCCACCTTATCTCTGTCCGTCCGGGTCGCTCCAGTCCACCCCTACTGCTCTGTGCAGCTGTGCTGCCGGGCTCCAGCGCCATGGCCGCGGCCACGCTGCTCCCGGGCCCCGCCGCCGCCTCGCCGCGTCTCGGCTCCGCGGCTTCCGCGCCGTCCGCGTCCCACGGGAGGCGTCGCCTCACCTTCAGCTTCAGGTACGCGCGCGTAGGGGCCCTCACCCACCTCCTCGCTCGCTCCTGGCGCCGGTGGCCGCCCGCCAGGTGCTCGACCCGTTTCCTGCACTCTTCCACCACGGGAACGAACGGGCTGTCGGCTCCAGGCTGCAGTTGGGGGGTGCCGGCTGCTGAATTCGCACGAATTACTGTTGGTACTTCATAGAATAGTCACTACTAGGTTGAGTGGCTGATCGATCGGCCCGTGCCATTTGGGCGTTGGTGCAGGTGCCAGTCGACCAGCGTCGACAAGCAGCAGCAGCAGCCGCCCAAGCCGAAGCAGCGGAACCTGCTCGACAACGCCAGCAACCTGCTGACCAACTTCCTCAGCGGCGGCAACCTCGGGGCCATGCCCGTCGCCGAGGGCGCCGTTACTGACCTCTTCGGCAAGCCCCTCTTCTTCTCGCTCTATGATTGGTTCCTCGAGGTGAATGCGCCGCCCCCTTCCTGCACCCCCGCGTTCGCACATTGTCATCCCTTAGTTTTTTGAAAGAAAAAAAATTGTTCTCCAGTCTCCACTCAGTTTACCATATAGGAAAATTCGATTCAGAATCTATGAGGTTAGCTCCTGCAACACTGACATGTTATGATGTCTTAATTCACAGCATGGCTCTGTCTACAAGCTTGCTTTTGGACCCAAATCGTTCGTCGTCGTCTCTGACCCTATTGTTGCTAGACACATCCTCCGGGAGAACGCTTTCTGTTATGATAAGGTATGCTGTCTAGATACTAGTGTCAGACATGGATTGTTGAAAACTCATTGAAAAAAAGGATTGTTGAAAACTATGGAATATACAAGGATTTGGACCATGATCACCTTACACTCATGATGGTTGCAAAGCTTATTTATAGAATGATCGCTTCCCTACAACTGCATTTTGCATATATATTATTACTTGTCGTGAAGACCTGGCTTCGCTTCTGAATAATAATTGGTGTAGTTTGGTGGGTTTCTTTATTACATGTTATTTGATTATTTCTTACTTGAAATCAGGGAGTTCTCGCTGAAATTTTAAAACCCTATAATGGGGAAGGGTCTTATACCTGCTGACCTTGATACCTGGAAGCAAAGGAGAAAAGGTTAGAAAGGTTGGATATTCAATCATATTTTCTGTGTTTTCTAGTTTGGACTGACTACAATACTGCTGATTGCTCTGCATTAATCTATGGGCATAGCCCATACTGTTAGTCAAAATTAGCAGGTTGATCATTGGCCTGAGCCTCAAATCCAGTCCTTTCTAGTTTTGTTTTTCCTATCTTGAAAGTTATTTCTAGCTCAACTGTGTATTCTGAAAACGGCATCTCTAGGCATGCAAAATCATCCTAGGGCTTCTTTCAATTCTGAATTTGTTACCTTGCTTTTTTTCCTTGAGGGATGAAACATAAGACATTTTTCTGTCTTTATAAATGTGATATTTAACAGTTACTACTGTTTGACGAGGCAATCAATCAACATAATCGAATTGTTTTAGAGATGATTTGAATTTCATGTATGCATTTCACATAATATTTTACTAATGGCATACCTTATCCTATCCTTGTGTTCTGCAGTTATAACACCTGGGTTCCATGCCTTATTCATAGAAGCTATGGTGAGAACATTTACGAAATGTTCAGAGAGAACAATATCAAAGCTTGAAGAGCTTACTGAAAGCGAAGGCCGTGAACAAAAATCGACTATAGTGGACCTTGAAGCTGAGTTCTCCAATTTGGCACTCGATATCATTGGCTTGGGTGTATTCAATTTTGATTTTGACTCGGTTACTAAGGAATCTCCTGTAATCAAGGTTGGTATATCTCTAGTTCTATCTTATGTTTGTTTGTGCATAGGATGTATTACACATGCTCATATAGAGAAATTGACTAAAGTAGAAAAGAATATTCATAATTTATGGCTACCTTGGGTAGATATGAATTTTGTTTTTCTGCTACTTTTCTCTTCCCTGATTTGATGAGCTTCTTTCTCCATTGTGCAGGCAGTGTATGGAACACTTTTCGAAGCTGAGCACCGTTCCACCTTCTACATCCCCTATTGGAATCTTCCTTTGACAAAATGGATAGTTCCAAGGCAGCGCAAGTTCCATAGTGACCTCAAAGTGATCAACAATTGCCTTGATAACCTTATAAAAAATGCAAAGGAGACCAGACAGGTTTGTGCAACTGAAACGCAGTTCTAACTTGATGACATTTTAAGGAGCTTGCTGTAGTTCTGATGTTGTAAAGTTGTTATATAGGAAGCTGATGTGGAAAAGCTCCAGCAAAGGGACTACTCTTCTCTGAAGGTTGGCTGCTGTTCCTCCTTCCTTTTTTGACTCATTTCAGTGTCAGAACTCACCAGTTTACCTTTCTGAACGTCTAGCATTTTTGGTGAATAGTATCTCATATCTGTGCCATCATGCTTTTAGGATGCCAGCTTGCTGAGGTTCCTTGTTGACATGCGGGGAGCTGATGTTGATGATCGCCAGGTAAATTGTGGAAACCGGGCATTTTAGAATTTTATGTTATGCTTTCTATTTCTTCCTATTTGCAGCAAATTAAGTTGATGAATTTCATGGTTTGTGTTGTGACAGCTTCGAGATGATCTTATGACGATGCTTATTGCTGGACATGAAACAACTGCTGCTGTTCTGACATGGTCTGTTTTTTTGTTAGCCCAGGTACACAGATGTTACACAGAATTCTTCAAGTAATTAAATTTTTGCTTGAATATGTATGGTCATACTGTGATGTCATGCAGAGCCCTACCAAGATGAGAAAAGCCCAGGCAGAGGTTGATTCTGTTCTCAGCAATGGGGCAATTACTGTCGAATCCCTCAAGAAACTGGAGTATGTCACCTGTACCATTATTTTGAATTTTGAATTCAACTAGCATTGATTCTTTTATTTTCCATTTCTTGAGGGATAAGTGTATGATGCTTAACAATATCATTGGATTATTGTTTCATAAAAAGTATGATTAGATTATTAACAATAGAATATCCATGCATCCGACTTGTCTGAAATTACTAGCTATATTTAATTATTTATACATCTGAAATGAATTTGCCTTCCTCTCATGAAACGTTTGCATTGCCCTCTAGGTATATAAAACTGATTATTCTTGAAGCTCTTCGCTTGTATCCTCAGCCACCATTGTTAATCAGGCGTTCTCTCCGGCCAGACAAGTTGCCAGGTACCATCTTCTCTGTAATGTTGTAAGTTCTTTCCCGAACAATGCAAAGGGTGTTTAGTGGTCATTTGAGTGACCATTTAGATTAGTTTGGTTGAAGTCATCATTCTTGTTACTGGTGTTTCTGTTAATTAATAGGCTGTGAGTGGGTGGGTGTTTGAGTGTGCAGGTGTGGTGTAACCTCTTTATTCTTCTTCTTAATGCAATGATACACAGCTATCCTGCGTATTCAAGAAAAAAAAAAGATGTTAAGTGGTTGTTGGGTAATTGAGCAGATGCATGGCTTATGTTGTGAAGGCCAAAGGGCATGTCATCAGCACAGAAATTCGGATTGAATAATACCTGTATTCTCATTTGATAAAGAAAGCTTCCATTAATTTCAACTTATGACTGTGGACAGGAAACCTTCCACTATTGCAAAACTTTTTTATAGTAACTTGTATTTCAAAAATGTATGCACAATTGCACATGACTTTATGGCATGAGGTTCTGATCTAAATTTCTGTATGTGGAAGTAGTTTTAGTTCACTGCACGTTTGGATTGCACCTAGGTATGAGGAACCGCCAAAGTGATCCAGTTCTTTTAACCATGTATCCATTTCTCGATGTCTGTTCAGCCCATTTATGCCTCCCATTTGATTTCACTAGATGCAGCCTACTACTGTGATATTTGTTGAAACTTTGTGTTTGTTTTCGTTTAGTGACAAGCAGGGTATGTTGCCTTCACTGGTATATGCCTTCTAACTCTGTACTGATCGTCTATTTACCTAGGTGGG